ATGTAATATATAATTAGAATGTAGTTCTATGAGTTATTTCGCTGTGATTATATCTGTACTTCGTGTATATTTTCAGGGCATCATGTAATATAATGAGAATGTAGTTCTATGAATTATTTAGCTGTGATTATATCTGTAATTCTTGTATATTTTCAGGGCATCATGTAATATAATGAGAATGTAGTTCTATGAGTTATTTAGCTGTGATTATATCTGTAATTCTTGTATATTTTCAGGGCATCATGTAATATAATGAGAATGTAGTTCTATGAGTTATTTAGCTGTGATTATATCTGTAATTCGTGTATATTTTCAGGGCACCATGTATATATAATGAGAATGTAGTTCTATGAGTTATTTAACTGTGATTATATCTGTAATTCTTGTATATTTTCAGGGCATCATGTAATATAATAAGAATGTAGTTCTATGAGTTATTTAGCTGTGATTATATCTGTAATTCTTGTATATTTTCAGGGCATCATGTAATATAATAAGAATGTAGTTCTATGAGTTATTTAGCTGTGATTATATCTGTAATTCGTGTATATTTTCAGGGCATCATGTAATATATAATAAGAATGTAGTTCTATGAGTTATGTAGATGTGATTATATCTGTAATTTGTGTATATTTTCAGGGCATCATGTAGTATAATGAGAATATAGTTCTATGAGTTATTTAACTGTGATTATATCTGTAATTTGTGTATATTTTCAGGGCATCATGTAATATAATGAGAATGTAGTTCTATGAGTTATTTAACTGTGATTATATCTGTAATTTGTGTATATTTTCAGGGCATCATGTAATATATAATGAGAATGTAGTTCTATGAGTTATTTAGCTGTGATTATATCTGTAATTTGTGTATATTTTCAGGGCACCATGTAATATATAATGAGAATGTAGTTCTATGAGTTATTTAGCTGTGATTATATCTGTAATTTGTGTATATTTTCAGGGCACCATGTAATATATAATGAGAATGTAGTTCTATGAGTTATTTAGCTGTGATTATATCTGTAATTCGTGTATATTTTCAGGGCACCATGTAATATATAATGAGAATGTAGTTCTATGAGTTATTTAGCTGTGATTATATCTGTAATTCGTGTATATTTTCAGGGCACCATGTACGTGGTATAAGATGTGTACTTTGTGATAGTCCAGTTGTAAAAAACATCAAACTCTTCCCTTTTCCCACTCGACCTTCACTCAGAAAGACCTGGCTCCAATTTGCCAAACAATACACTGATGACGTCAACCCAAAATCATCCCAGATTTGTTCTCAACATTTCGATGAAAGATCATGGACACTGGTACAGAAGAAAATTGGAGAATTTGGTATTGGAACCAGTTACGTCTTAAACCCTGATGCAGTTCCATCAATAATCATGTTACCAAGTGTTCAAAGTACTAAAAATATTCTGGAATCTAAAAACTCTCTTCTTTCAATGATTATGGCTCCAAAACTCGATCCACCAAAATACACCGCCACAAAAGACATCTCTAAGAAAGCTCTTCATGCTTCCATAGAATCAGTAGAAAAGATTTTTGAGGAGTGTACGGTCTGTGGATCTTCTAAGAGAGGTCGAGTTGTTCTTCATAAACTACCAGATACAATCCTTCTAAAAATGAAGTGGCTAGATTTCATAGAACAAGCCACCAAGAAACATCTACAGATTCCAATGGGCAGAGTTCGTGTTTGTTCTCAACATTTTGATGTTGGTTGTTACGATGAAGAACAAAGTGTAATGAATAACACGGGCTATGGGGTGAAAATAAAAAAAGTGATGAAGAGGAATGCTGTACCATCAATATTTTGGGTGGTTAAAAATGGAGTACAGGAAGTGATGATCATCAAGGATGATGAGGATGAAATTGACCAGGATCAAACTGGCTCCTCTGCTTCAGTGACTGTGAAAATAGAACCTGAGACTGAAGATATAGAAATACAACAAGTAGAGAGTAATTCTGGCCTGGTTCAATCAACACGATCCAATCTGGAACATCTTCTTAACAAGTCTGTCCAGAAATACATTAGACCAAAGAGTGAGAAGGAAATGTACAATCTTTTATCAAAGTGTGAAAAGGAAGAGATCCAGAAAATAAAATCGATTCGGGGTGGTGGAGATGAAAAACCCAATTTATTTGCATGTCATTGTGGTGAAGGTTTTTTATCGCGAGCGTTATTGATTGAACACAAGAAGGTTCACGTGACCTCCAGAGATTGTATATTTAGATGTAGTATTTGTCAGGCCAAATTTCATTCCCACAGAACTTACGACCAACATCTTATCAGCCATTTTGGATTAAATCGCAGACTGTGTGCGTTTTGTGGACAATCTTTATCGTCAAAAATTGAGTTTAATAAACATATTCAAACAGTTCACGGTGGAAAGGGTGCCATAGAATCTCCCGAAAAACTCTCTGCTCTCTAA